AAAGATCGACAGCAGCTGGACCAGTACCAAGTGTTTGATGTAAATCATTAAAGAATGTTAACCACTGAAATAATAAATAATATTATCTTATAATTCTGTGAATAGAAGAAGTACAAATTTGACTAGCTCAATTACGGATGAGTCTGTTAAAGAATCCCAACCAACCACAATACAGCACACGCTCGTGTTATTGTTCCCATACTTTAATGCATTAAGCATACAATAGATTATAGATTGATAATAGAGAGTTTTAGATTCACGTTTACTGCCAACGCCAAACGTCAAATTGGCTTTTATGCTTTGTCTCAAAATTTCAAACAAACGTAAAAACGCTTCTAAAGGAATAGTGATGCGCTTATGCACGAAAAAAGTGATTTATTTTATCCACAATCGCGAAAGAACGGAGCGTTAATACAGAAAAACAGTGATCACGTGATCAGTTTTGACGTTTGGCGTTCGCCGTAAACACGAATCTAAAACTCTCTAATACCTGTGAGGTACTTGTAGTTAAAGGTACATGAATTTCTGTCCAAACTAAAAGGATGGGAGATGATTCRCCCTCACTTTAGAAGTCCTACGAATACCCAAAATGGTGCTTCGGCTTGCAAGGTATGGAGGTTGATTATGATTCTTTAACTACATGTAATCTCTCAATGTGTAAACACAATAGACCTCAACAATCTCCTCAAGAAAATATAGGTYGCTTACACAGACCTGTACTTCCTACCTCTCATTATTTAGAGTTGATTATTAGGAGAAGGCAGTGTTTCCAGCTGGGCATTATTATTTTGTGTTCATACCTGATGTRGGTAATCATTAACAAACGTCAAAGCAAACAGTTGCGCAGCTTTGTTCCGGATAAAACTCTTGTCTTGTTCACCAGAGCACTGGTTATGGAACCAGCTCATGAGGAACTTACGGAGAGCTTGTTGAGTTGATGGTTCTGAGCTACCATGTCTGGAATAGCACAACAATTCTTGTTAACATAATTTCATAAGGCTAAGTGGTCGTAACTAGCAGTAAACTAGTGTGAGCTGTGTCAATGTTTCTTAAGAAATAGTTGTGTAAAAAGATAAATTTAACACCGTAGAAAAGTAGGTGAAGTAACTTACTGACATTTTAGACATAAATCCTTCATAT